AAAAAAAAAAAAAAAAAAAAAAAAAAAAGGTGTTAAAAGCAGGGAGGGAGGGAGATTGTTCCCCCAAAGCAGTCCCAGGATTTGCGTACGGATCATCTGGGAGGCAACCCTGGGAAGCACAACAGGAATCGGGAATTAAAACAAGGGTGGGAGAAGAGCCACTCATGAGGAGGTGTGCACTCATGAGCAGGTTACTGCAGGGGACAACCGGGGATGATCCCACTGGGGACCCCCTAAGAGAGTGGAGAACACACCCCAGAACTGTCCTGCCTGGGGCAAGAAGCTGGGAGTTCTATCCACCCACCCTCCTTGGCTGGTGCTAACACCCTGGGACTTGGAGCCTGTCCCACACACACCTGCAGCCCGAGAACATTCTCAAGCATGAGGCATAAGGAGCCTTAGCTGGTGGCATCCAAAGTGGGCTGGGGGTTATGGGCTGGCACGCAGTGTCGGCTGCAGAGGGGTGTAGACGGCTGTGGGCACCGCTGTCTCTGTTTCCCCATTTGTTTAGGGGACGGGACAAGGACCGAGCCCGACCTCAGCTCTGCTCCACTGGAAGGAGGTGGCACAGCCCCAGCAACCCTCGGGTCTGAGCCCCTCAGAGCGACAAGCAAAGGCAGAGCCGGGCTGTGTGTGGCTTTCTCTTTTGCTAGCACAACTTCCTCTTCAGCTTCCTGACTGAGCAGTGGGGCAGGACGGAGGTGGGCCAGCCTGGGCCTGGCCTAGAAAGGCCCACACAGCTCTCCTCGGCACCCAGCCCCTCGGAGCCACCATGAGCCAGCCCCAACACCCTGGGCCGGGTGAGGCTGCTCCAGAGACCCTCCTGGGTGACCTCATCAGCTACTACCAAGAGGAGGCAGGGGCCGGCCGGCTCCGGGTCTGCAGGCAAGCAGCCCTCACCCACAGGGCCCGGCGGTTCTCCGACATGGGGCCCCCCCTTCAGCTCTATCCGCCTGAACTTGTGGCCTCCAATCTGCGGGCCACTCACTCCCAGGGGGCACCCAGCCCTACCCAGCCTGTCTGCCATGAACTGGTGCAGGCACTAGAGTTCCTGGAGCTAATATCTGTCAACCTACTTCTGTTTCCCTGGAGGAAGGAAATCAGGTCCCTGAAGGTAGGCACCACCATGCCTCTGAGCAAGGGGGTCTCGGGTTGGAGACGGAGCTCTGCCTCTGGGGGAAACAGCGTGTCCATCATGCCCACTGACTTTGGTCCCATTTTATAGTTGGATAAACTGAGAGCCAAAGAGGTTAATGCAACTTACCTATGGTCACCAGCTAATAAGTAGAAGAGATAGACCTCAAACTCAGGCAGCACACCTTCCAACCGCTAAACTCTACGGCCTCTCTAAAGACAAGGAACCAAGGAGCTCATAATAAACAGGGGAAGGGGTCTAGCTTTGGAAAGCTTTAATCTCTTCTGACTCCAGGCCAGGACTCCTGGGTTGGGAGCCAGGATATCGGAGCCTCACCCCAGCTCAATCTCTTGCTATGTGACTTGCGACAGGTCCTGTCCTGTCTCTGGGCCTCAGTGTGCCCTTCTATAAAATGGGACAGAGGATAACATGATCATGGGCCAGATGTCCCTTTGGCCAAATGCCCCAGCCCAACGGCTTCTCAGAAGCCTCCAGTGCCCCCCTGGGCATCGGCCCTTGGTCCTGCCTGGCCATTCACAGCCACTTTGCTGGGCTGTGTCCCACCTCTAATAAACATCCCTGTTTGTTCCAGACATACACTGGGAACTTTGCCTACCGGGTGCAGCCTGTGCTTTCTGAACAAACACTGCACACCATTCTGGGCAGGCTGGGCTATGTGGCCACCTCTGAGGCGGAGTTTTCGCTGGTCCAGGCCATCAGCAAGGAGGACGCCGAGCAGATGGTGTTTGAAATCTTCCTGGCGAGAGTTACATGTGAGGCCATTCTGGGGACCTCGAGCAGGCAGGTCCTGGGACTGGGCAGAGAGAAACCCTACCGCAGGCGCAGCTCCAAGAGAAAGCTGGCGAAGGCCCACAACTGCCCCGAGGGGGCCCAGCCAGGCCCCCAAGAAGGGCTGGGATCTGAGAGGGCCCTGGCTGAGGGCCCTGACCATCAGAGCACTGTGCCAACGGCCCCGAGCCTGTCTGAGGTCTCAACATCCCCCCGCACCCTCCGTGCCGGCCCCCAGCTCCCCCTAGACTCCCAGCGCCGTGCCAGCACACGCTCGGACAGTGAGGAGTTCTTGACCTGCTACAGTGACCTTGTTCTGCACCGGACACCCCTGTTCCCCAGGGACTTTCCCCTGCGCGGCCTGAAGGGAGACCAAGCCCAGGGCCCAGCCCTGGCTCCCAGCCCACCTGCAGGTGAAGCACTCACCTCCTTGGGCAGCAGCGGTGAGTGGTCCCTTGTCCCCAGTGCAGCTCCTGAGAGCAGAGTGGTCACCAACCCCAGGCAGCCCCGGCTGACACCAGGCCCCAAGTTGTCAGGGAAACCCTTGGACCCAAAGCCAGAAGCACAGCCGGAGCCGACCGCCCCTGACGCAGACACTGTTCCTCCAAACACTTCCTCTGAGTTGGACGAGCTCTGTGAACACCTCTCCCACCTCCTCGGACCCCCAACTCTAGCAGACCATCCTGGGGGCCTCCCAGGCCCTGGGGTTGAGGACACTAGACAATCAGAACCTCTCACGGGGCCAGAGCCAGCCGCTGAGGCCGGGGGCCCAGACAGTAGGATCACCCAACTCTGGAGGCCTACTCAGAACCCCCTCATGTATGGGGGCCCCCGACACTATGTTCCCCCAGGGGAGCTGGAGGGGCCAGTTCTGACCCAAGAACACCACCCAGGCAATAGCTAAAAAATGTCACCCCTGGATAATACAGGGACAGAGACCCGGACTGCTCTTCCACCAGGGAAGCGACCCCTTGGAGAGGTGGCAGATCTGGAACCCACAGCTTGTCAGGGGTAGGGATCAATCTGCTAAGCAATCCATCTGGTCTCAAGTCCCACCTACTGACTGTGTGACTTTGGGCCACTCGCTCCGGCTCTCTGAGCCTTGTTTCCTCACCTATGTGGTCGGACCTGCTCACAGGAGGCTGGGAAGTGTCCGTGAGGTGAGGTGAGGTGTGCACAGTGCCCCTCGGTGCTTCCCTTGGCGGGGGGTGCTTCCGGTCCCTTCCCATCCCCACTAAGTGTGTGACCCTGGGCATCTCTGAGGGGCAGTTTCCTCCAGCATCCTCAAGGGAACTGTCACAGGACAGGTGAAGAAAGCTGTGTAGATAACTACACCCTTAATGCGCTTAGACTACTCTGTCAGCCTCCCTGCTCTGTCTGCTAACTTCTGGTTAATAGAGAACAAAACCATTCCCGGGAGCACAGGATCACACGCGGGCTCTGCATCCATGGGTTGGGGGCTCCACTCATCTGGGCTGCGGCGCCCCCTCCCCCAGCCATCTCTTGCCCCCACACATGCACACGCACCTCACAAGTGGGCACATCCAGAGGTGCTGCTCTTCCCACAGTATTCCCACCCGCTCGCTCCAAGCAAATGACCCCATCTCTTTGTGAGCTAAAGCCAGAGAGGATCCTGTCTGAACCAAGTCCTGTGACTTTCTTGCTCAATTCTCCCCAGGGGCTCCCAAGGCCACACCAAGCCCCACAGGCCCCTCACTATCCTTTTGATCTCATTTCCCGCCTCTTTCCCCCCAGCCTACTGCAGACAAGACAAACTGGCCTCTTAAGGGTTCTCAAACAAGCTAAGCCCACCCCTACCTCCCAGCCTCTGTGCAAACTGTTCCCTTTCCCCACTTCGCATCCCGTCTCTATCTTTCCTGTTATTCACAACTCACCTTAAATGTCACCTCCTGGAGAGGCCTTCCATGGCCACCCATCTATCACATCAACTTAATTTTCTGCACAGACATTTTAAATGTACTTATTCATTTTCCATCCCCCCCCCCCGCCCTCCTAGAATATAAGCTCTTCGAGAAACTTCATCTTGTCTCATTCACCTCTGTTTCCAGGGATCCATCAAGTGAGTAGAAAACTTAGAAAATACAGATGGACATAAAAACAAAAGCAGTAGTTACCATAATATCCACACTGGGAGACACCCAATGTTAGGATGTTAACGCATTTCCTTCTGGTCTTTTTTTTTCTAAATTTGGGATTGTAGTATTTACAGTGTTGTCTTCTGCTTTTCTTTACCACGAAGGGAGTTATTGTAACTAATTTTAGATTTAAAGAAAAGTTGTGAAATAAGGCAAGGAATTCCTTTGGAACCCTCACCTTGTGTCCCCTGAAAACGACATCTTATATAACTAGAGTATGATGATCAAGAACAGGCAATTAACACGAAGACAGTATGATTAACTAAACTGCAAACCTTTTTTAAATGTGACCAGTTTTCCCATGACTACCCTTTCTCCATTCCAGGATCCTTTCCAGGACCCCATAGGGCATTTGTCCTTTTTCCTTCATCCCCGCCGCTCTCTGCCCCAGTCTGTTACAGTTCCTTAGCCTTAGTTTTGTCTTTCCTCATCTTGATGCTTTTGGTCAAAACTTAATACTGATTTTGTTGAATGTCCCTCAGTTTGAGTTTGTCTGTTTTTTTTTTGTTTGTTTTGTTTTTTTATAGTTGAAGTGAGGTTATGCATTTTTGGCAAGAATTCCATTAAAAATGATGCTGTGTCCTCGGTGCATCTTACCAAAGGGTTCATCTTATTACTGGTGATGCTAACGTGCTGCATCCCTGGAATAAACCGCTTGTCCTAGGAGCCCTGGTGCCTCTTACTGGAAAATGATGTTTAGACACCAAGACCCAGGTGCCAGGTGTGCTGTTACTGGGTATCATTGCTTCCAAGCCCACTCGGGGGGCAGTCAGGAAACATATGGATGTGTACTAACCCAGGCATATACATATGTGAGTTTATTTCCAAATCTATATAGAATTTTAAAACCATGAGTGTTTATGGATTCCTCTGATTTTAAGCCAATGACACAGGGTTGCTTCTACCTCACCCCTTTTACTTGTAAGTTCTTTCTGTAGAAGAGAATGAAACCTGGCTCCTTAATCTATGGTCTACTTGTTTGTTCAGGTCCAATACTATAGTTTTAGAATTGTTGACCGCACCTCCGTGAGAAACACTTTTAAAACTCTATCATAGCATTTATGAAGACTAATTTTCACCTTCACTCTCGCCGCATCAAGGTACTGTTTTCCACAGTTACTCAGGCAACTTCCTTACTTCCCCACCCCTCTGGTGTGGTCGTTTTTCACTTGTGATGCTCTTAGGGTCAGCTGTGTCTGTATTCCGTTTTCCATTCCCCCTACATCCTAGTTGATCTTGTTTGTTTATTTCGGGGGTAATGGGACACTTTTCTATGGTTCTAAGAGTCAGTTATACAAAAAGACACATTCACACAAGTGTCATTCCCTTCTCCTCCCTGCAACCACACCTCATCCTTCCCTCTCTACAGCCTCTGCCCACCAACCTATTTAGTTTCTGGATCATCCTTCATTTCCTTTGCATCTGTGTATTTTTTTAAAGTTTTTATTTATTTTTGAGAGAGAGACAGAGCACCAGCAGAGGACGGGCAGAGGGAGAGGGAGACACAGAATCCGAAGCAGGCTCCAGGCTCTGAGCTGTCGGCAAAGAGCCCAACATGGAACTCGAACTCACAAACAGTGAGACGTGACCTGAGCCAGAGTCAGATGCCTAACCGACTGAGCCACCCAGGCGCCCCTGCATCTGTGTATTTTCTTGGGTCTCTTCTTATACAAAGGGTAGTGTACCAGAGATACTCATCTGGACGTTGTTTTTCACTCAAGATTGCTTTATGTCCTGGAAATCATATCTGTTCAGAAAGAGCTTCTTCATTCTTTTTTCCACTCCACTGTGTGGCTGCACCATAGTTTATTTGACCACTCTGTTACGTACAGGTCTTTAGGCTGTTTCCAGTTATTTTGCAGTTAAAACCAATGCTGCAATAAATAACCTTGTGCATAGATATTTTTATATTGTAGAAAGTATATATTCGATACCACGAGTGGGATCCCTGGGTCGCAGTGTAAGTGCATATGTACTTTGTCGGACGTTGTCAAACTTCTCTCCAAAAGGGCTGTACAAAGTTACACTCCCACCAGCGATGTACGTGAGTACTTGTTCCCCACAGCCTCACCAAAAGAATGTGGTTTGTTTCCCCCCACACACCCCTGTCTGGTAGGTGAGTCAGTGTTCTTTCAGTCCGTCTGGGCTTTTATAACAAAACACTACACACCAGTGGCTTATACACAACAGAAATTTATTTCTCACATTTCTGGAGGCTACAAATCCAACATCATGGTGCCAGTATGGTGGTGTTCTGGCGAAGGTCCTCTGCCGGGCTGCAGACTGCAGACTGCCGACTTCTTGCTGTGTCCCCACACGGTGGAAGAGGCACGGGAGCTCTGTGGGGTTCTTTTACAACAGCACTGAATCTATTCATGAGGTTCCATTCTCACGCCTAATCTCTTCCTCTTGAAGGTCCCCTCCTAATACCATGGCCTTAAGCATTAAGTTTTCAACATATGAATGGGGGGTGGGGGGACTACAAATATTCAGATCAGAGCATCTGCTTTTCTCTGAATGAATGTGAGTGTTTTTCACATGTTTAAGGGCCATTTTTATATCTTTTTTGTAAATCGTCTTTCACATCTTTTCCTCAGTTTTCTATTTGGTTTTTGGTCCTTTGTCCTTCAATGTTAAAGAATTCTTCATGGATATTTAGGAATATTAGCCCTTTGTTACATATGTTGCATTTTTCTCCCAGTTTGTTAACTGTCTTTTGGTTTTGTTCATGCTAGGTTTTATCACACAAGTTTTAAAATTTTTACTTAGCCAGAATGATTAACATTTGGTTGCCCCTGGATTTTGAATCATCATTAGGAAGCTTTCCCTACATCAAGGTTTTAGAGATGAATTCATCCACATTTTCTTCTGGTACTTGAATGGTTCCAATTTCTACATTTAGATCCCTAACCCCTTGGGAGTTTATATGGCATTAAAATACGGATCTTTTACCTTTTTCCAAATGGTGACCTTAGCCACCATTTTTGTTAAAAAGTCCATCTTTACCCCAATGATTTGAGATGGCATCTTTGTCACGTAAATTTCTATATGTACTTACGTCTATTTCTGGGCTATTTTATTTCACTCTTCTACTTATCTATTCATGCATCAGTTCCACACTGTTTTAATGATGCAGGTTTTACAGTATGTTTTACTGTCTAGTAAGGCTCGTTCTCCATCACAGTTTTTCTTTTTCCAGTGGTTTCCTGGTTATTCCTTAATGTTTGTGTTTCTATATAAAATTTAGAATAATGTGTATAATTCCACAAAATAGACCGTGGTGTTTCTACTGAGATTGTATTAAATTTGGAATTTAATTTAAGGGAGAACAGACATCTTTATGTTGAGTCCCCCTATCCAAGAATGGGATGTCTTCACATTTGTTCATCTTATTTGGTGTCTTTGAGGAGTGCTTTAGCATATTTCTTGTATGTTTTTGTATGTATCTTGTTAAATTTATTCCAAAGTATTTAATCTTCTTTGTTACCACTGTAAATGGGATTTTCACTACCGTTATAACCTGTTTATCATTTGTATATGCTAGTGTTGTATCCTGTTACTTCAGTAAAATTCTATAGTTGGTGTTGGTTTTATCACTGAGTCTTTGGTGTTAATTCTCTACCCCAACAGAAGGGAGTGCTGAGGCTGCAGGTGCCTTCCTGCCTTAGTGTGGGTTTTCTCAGGGATTATTTCAGGATGGGGGGTAGCTATGAGGAGCTAAACTACATGCTTCATGAGTGGAGGGAGG